GCCAGATCCCCTAAAAAAAAGGTGAGCAAATCTCACCACTGCCAAGGTCAGGGCACATCCATGTGTCACTGCTCAGTTGCATGGGGAGAACATGCTTGCTCCACACTGCAGATGCAGCAGCTGGGGGAGCAGAGTGCCCAGGTACATGTGTGCGGCAGCCAGCACTTCAGAGGCCGGGCACGCACCCTTAAAACCACTGCGGTTTTTGCACAAAGAAGATAACCAGTACAGAAACTTGAAGCGTTACTTTTAACAAATAGGAAGCTTTTTGATGACAGCCATTGAAATTAGGACAAAAGTTGTTTAAAACTGGCATATTTAGCATTTAACATAATTAACAAGCATTTCCACAAATTAAGCATTTCTCAATACATTGTTTTAAACTCAATCACATCCAAGGAGTACTCTGATAATGACACTCAGTACTTCAACAGTAGAAATGCTCCTTTACATTGGGATCATGTATTATGTTATTGCCACTAGTTCTTACATAAAACCCTCCTGATCACTTGTACTGTCTTAGGTTTCAAAAAACACTGGTTAGGAATGGAGTTTGTGTAGTAAATGTGACATAGAATTTGCATGCTTTCACACAATCTTTAGAACAGAAATTTGGAATGGAAAGTCAAATCAAGTCAATCAAAATTTGTGTAAAGCTCCATCTTAACATTGACTCAGCCATGGCAAATGCCTTTGTGAAAAGCTGAATGAAACAGAACAGCGTATGTCACCATTTTTCCTCTCTTCTACAAGCCCAGTGCTCTTTCTCAGAAAGCAGGCATACCGTAACAGTACTGCTGAGCTTTGGCTGAAGGAAAAGAATCTAAACCACAGCTATCAAAATACACCTCCTTTTTCCCAGTTTAAAGAAAATTAGTAGATTTCTCTCTCTCTAAAGCACTTCCGCTGACCAAGTATCTGCCCTGAGCTCAGGCAACTTCCATACCTCCTACTAGCACAATTATAATACTTAAACAGATTATTGTTAGAGGGAAAGATTATGTTAATGGTAAGAACTCTGAGGATTGTAAATTGTTACAGGCCATCTGAAAATGAAAGTATGTTTTTATGTATTCAAAACACAACATTATCAGCAACTCATAATATCCCACTCCTAGTCTAACTGGCACTTTATGGGAGGCAAGGCTCCTTGCAGCCACAGTCCATCCTATCAAAACAAAGACAGTTTGGTGAGGATCTTAGAGGTTACCTGGGTCTTACTACAGTTTGGGGCTGTCTGACTGCCTGAGTTACTTGCTCTCCAGTCAAAATAACACCAAAATAAGAAGACTACATATAAGCTTTATGATGCAGAATGACTTAAAGAAAGCCACCTCTGCCATCCTGTAGTCTTTTTATCAGCATCTTGAACTTGACACAGGAAGTGCCTGGAAACAGGAATAATCTTTTCAGAGTTAAAATCCTACACAGCAAGATCCCCTTCTGAAACAGTGCTTGGTTACCGTTTTAATTAAGAAGGAAAAGATATAAATTGTCAGATGAAAAAAACACTGTAATGCTATTAAATATACTTTTTTTTTAATTTTACTATGATGCATGCTGTAAGCAATACTGCACACAAATAGCTATTGCCTTTACATTTGCTAATCAACACCACCAATTTTTTCTTGACAAAGGAGGGCTGTATGCTTTTTGCCTCAAGTATAATCAACAAGTAAACCAGGGCAGCGCCAGCCTTCTATACACCACACCCTCACGACCACCAGTTATTGAATAATAAATGCCAGGCAATTCCAGCACTGTAATATGCATGAGCAGAAGGTTGACTCACATTCAGCCAGCTGTAGCAAGGGAAACAAAGAGTTTTGAAACTTATTACTAAAAATGTGGGTGGGTTTTAAATTTTCATTCACTCTACATTAAGCTATCTATCCAAGGAGATTACCTGAAGTCTAGAAAGAGTAACAACTTGAAGGAAGTTTTTACTGAAATCTACCTTTGTTTTGCATTGGGATGGGGGAAAGGAGAATGACATCATGATACTGCCCTAGTTAAAACATCTGATAATTAACCTCCTAAAATGAAAACAGTAACCGACAAGCAGCAGAGTTCTTCACACATTAATCAAGGCACTATAATTCACTGGGGTTTCCTTTACCTTCCCTCTGCACCTGCCTGGTCAGCATGCAGCCAAATCTTTTGCCTGGCTATTTCCTCCTTTCCTTCACCTCCAACCCACCACCAAACCTTCTCTTAGATAGACAGGCAAGTTTTCTATTTCCAGGAACAGAAAAAAACTATTGCACGGATAATGCATCAGAGACGGGATGCAGAGCTAAGCTGGTACTTTATCAAGACAATGGTTTTCCTCCTCTCAAAGACTGATGCATTATTTAGTCATCTAGTTCTGCACCTAATTCAAAGAAATTGCAATTTTGTTCTAAAGTCAAATCCAGCTGCAGTTTTAATTTAAACATCCATTCCTTTGCAGTCAGGTAAAGGAAAACAAAGGAACAGTCAAAAGAGCAGATATAAACTTTTCAAGTTCAGCATTACAACAAAGCAAGGTAAGTTATATGTGAGTTTCCTTGCAAATGCAGACAGATTAATAGGGATATCAGAAATAAATTGCTATTATAGTTCTAGAGAGAAAATACAGGCCTTCAAATGATAACAAATGTTGCATGGTTTTGACTGACTCAATTAGTCAAGAAGTTTTGCTGATCATGGGTCTGCTATAATCAGCTTTCTGTTGTCTAGGTTTAATTTTTACTTGTGGAAAAGATTGACATCACTAGCACCAAATACTTTTACTGCTAACGATGAAATAGGAAATGGCTTTGCTGCAAATAACCACCTTCAGCTTCACCTAAACTGAAGTCGAGCACCATTATGATAAATCTGAAACATTGTGACCTTTAAATAGTTGGAATAATAAAATCTGAAAACCTGAATTATGCAAATAATTAATGCTTAATGCAGCAGAACTTTGTGTAAACAGCGTTCATAAATGTCCCGATTCGCGCGGTTCACCTGAAAGCAAGTACGAAACAGCGAGGTACAAAGCCTCATAGCCGTATTTAAAAAACAAAAAGGCAGTCGATGCCAGCTTTACTGCCGTGTTTTGAGTCACTCAGGTAAGCTGTTAGCATTACCACACAAGCCTGTGGCCCTTCGCAGGGCAACGCCTGCAGGAAAGGAAGGCTTGGCCTCCGGCTAAGAGGCGGTGGGTGCTACCCCGCCAGCTCGCCCCTGGGTCTTGCCCTTGGAGCCGCAGTCAGAGGCTGAGTCGCCTCTCAAAGTCACTCTTCCTCTGCTTGCCGGCGCGGAGAACTGGCGGTGGTGCTGAAAAACGGCGCTGCCAGCAGCGGGGCTGCGCCGAGGGCTGCGGCCGGGCCCGCCGGAGACGCCCGGGACCCGTGCGCTGGGCAGCCCCCGATCGCGGTCTCTCCGGCTCCACGTCCCTCCTGACCTTCGCCCCACACCGAAGGGTTACCGGCACCAATTCATTCATTAACCGGCCACCCAGCGCTTCTCCTTCGCGCGGTCCCGAGCTCTGGGGGGCGGCAAGAGCCGGAACCTCTCCCCGGGGCGGATAAACACGTTCTCTCTGCACCGTCCTCCAGCCGAGCATACAGGCGGGAAGCTGCTGGCCACCCGGCACCGCCGCCGAGGAGGGGAGCTGCCTCTCACCCCCGGCACGGCTGGCGGCCGCTATGCGCTGGAGGACACTCATGCCGCTCGGGCGGCACTTCCCGGGAACTGACCGCTCTGCCCCGAGGAGGCACGGGGGACATCCAAACCCCGCCGAGCGGTACAGGGGAGCGGGCAGCAGCGGCGGCGCGACCCTACCTCATACTGGATGTACTGCTTCCTCCACTCAGGGGTGATGTGCGCTGCGAGGTGCTCGGCGAACTTCATCCTGCCGCCGCCGGGCCGGGGCCGGGGCCGCGCTCGCTCTTTGCCCGCGGAGCCGCCTCAGCGGCGCCTGGATGCTAAGGGGCCGCCGCCGCCGCCGGTAGTGGGGGGCGGGGGGGGGCCGCCGCAGCACATGGGCCCCCGCCCGCCCGCCCCGCCACTCCTCAGCCCGCCTCGGGCCTCCTCAGCGCCGCCCCGCCGCCTCCACCTCCTCCGCCGCCGCCGCCATCTTCCCCGTCCCGCCGCACCGCCACCGCCTCCCAGCCGTCAGCCGGCCCAGCAGCCAACCGGCCGCCGGCAAGGCGCCATCGCCACGGCAACCGCCGCCACCACCTACCGCCGCGCGGGGAGGGCGGGCCCAGCGGGGGGAAGGGGGGGCGGGGCCGAACATTAGCCCCGCCCCTGCCCGCCTGGGGCGGGGGGGTGGTGGTGGTGCGGTGGCGCCAAGGCTCCCCCAGCGGAGGGCGCCCCGCGTCGGTTTGCGGTTTCTGCTCGTTTCTGGGGTCGGTTCGGTCACAAACGTGTCACCTCCGTCCCTCTAGACCTCCAGGCCAGCGCCTCCGTAAGTGATGGCAGCTCTGGGACAGCCTCAGCTTGAATCCTGAACTCTTTGGGGTTGGCCGGGATGGGGATGGAGATGAGGATGGGAAGAAGTGTAGCACGGTGTGCGTGGGGGCAGGAGGTGAGGGGATGGGGAGGTATCAGCCAAGGAGAGAGCAAGGATGGAGATGGAGGGGAAGAACAGGAGAAAATGCAAGAAAGGTAAATAAGAATTAAGGGAGGAGAGAAATTGGGCTGACAGGCCACAGAAAGCTGGGGAAAAGGAGAAGAAAGAGAAGACAGTGCAAAGGAAAAGGAAGAGGGGAAGAGAAAGGAAAAAGATTCTCCAAAAGTTGCCTGATTACAACAGCCCTTGCCCTTTCACCACTGTCATGCTCACTGACAGGGTGCCATGCACAGCGGGGCTGAACAAGGGAGAGTGAGGAAACCCAGGGCAACTGTAAGAGCAAGCCCACTCAAGTGGGGGCACAGCAGCCCTGAAATACAAACACCCCAGGGGCTGGAGGGTTCAGTATCCACTGTGTTATAGTGTGGGAGACCAAATTGGAGATGCTCAGACTGGGGCTGCAGCCCTTGGTTATCTCCAGAAACACCAGTGGCCCTAATCTTGACCTTCCCTAATTCCCAGACTTTGGGAATTTGCTACAGTTGGGATTAATTCTGGTTTTCCTTCAAGCCTCCCAACCTCCAGCATAACTTCACATGATAGTTTTTAGCTTTTGCTTGTATCAACACAAGGACGAATCTTGTCACAGTTGCCAGCCCCTCAGAACAGCAATATTCCTCCCCACCACTGCAGGCAACCACTGGAGCATCACTCCTACTGACATCTGAAGGAGCACAGCTCATTTGCTGTGGTGATTTATTGGGATCCTGTCACAGGCCTAGGGTCTTCTGATTTGTGAGGGCTCTTACCCGGGCTCAGATTTACCCAGGCACGACAGCAGCGCATGCAGCAGTGATGCTCACTGATATCATCTCTTAATTATGTTTGCAGAAAACCGTTTAATGAATAGAGCTTTAGTGCCCTTCATCTGAAACTTCACACTCAGCAACCTGCCCAATGCTGACCTCAGTGTGAGCCAACCACTGTGCCACAGCTTGGCTTATGTTTAGCAGGTCACTGGCTTTTTAATGCATTACCTTCATAGGCTTGTACCAGATAAAATCACTCAGGATCTGAGCCTGCTCCCGCCACAATCAGTGGCACTGACTTCAGCAGGAGCAGCCAAGAGGAGGGTCTTTGCAGCTTCAACGCTTTGAATGCTGTCGGGCTTCCAGAGATAACGTGCAACACGTGGAAGAAGAGCAGATTAAGGAATAAATATTGTCTTTATTATTTGGTGGATACATTGCATGAAATATGTACCATGATAAGAGAGTATCATCTGATATGACAGCTTGCAAAATCAGGGACTGAAAATAACTAGTGATCCCCTCTTCCCTTTGTCTCTCAGAGAGTTTTTACCCACCAATAAAGCCTCTTATTTATTTAATACCAATAAATGCTATTTACTGGTATTAAACAAAGACAGATGATAGCAGGGGAGGCAGAGCAGAAGCTGGACTCCTTCTTACTCACCATTCCCATGTTCTCTAGCAACAGCTCCGTTTAAATACTGACAAAACCCTGCCTCCCGTTATCAGACGTGCTTTCAGACCATGCTTAGCATCATGACAGTGTTTCACTGTTCTGCTGGGACCTGGGGCTTTCTTATCCCTTGAAACATTTCAAAACTCCAAGCTCTGCACAGCCAGGGGCTGGGGGAGAAAGGACAAGAGGGCAGGAGAAGCCTTAAATGAAAGGCCACCACTGCCTCTGCTGCAATCTGCCCATGGCCGGGCTGGAGGGCAGGCAGGGGGAATGCACTCAACAGATCCTAGCAGAAGAGGAATGCCAACCCCAGTTGCTTCTGGTCTCAGGTCTGGTCCCAGTCCCTTCACTGCAGGTCTGTATCCTGGTCCCCATACCTCACTTGCACCAGGCTGCCACGTTCTTCTCTCTCGCTCTTTTCCAGGAAAGAGTTTGCATTGTGATTTTCCCCCATGCTGTTGTAGCTAGGAATAAATAAAAGAAGCTGTGTTATTTGCATTTTTAACCGCGCAAGAAGTCAGGAGTGGGCTATCCGCCAGTGAAGTCTGGCGCTTGCTTTGTTGAGAGTGTATAGAATAATTTATAAATAGCATGGTGGTTTGGGTTTTTTTAATATAATTATACTTTAAAGATCCTGCATTGCTGGGGAGAGGGAGTCTTCAAAAGAGACTTTAGAAAAAGAGTCTTGCAGAGGGAAAATTTTCTTTAATGGCATTCATAAAATCACAAAGAGGAGGGTTTTCCATAGCAGGAGACAATGCAGGACACCCACAGACAACCATTCCCACACCCTTCTTCCCACCTCCTCTTCAGGCAGCTGACTTTTAAGGTGCTTGGATAGGTAGAGGCTCAGTTTGTCATGGAAAGGAATGCTTTAGCAGCACAACCCTCTACGAGCAAAGCAGGATGTGCTAAGCCTGGACCACTGGGTGGGTCAACATCAGAGAAAGCCGAGAAGATTAATGCATCTCCTACCCCTTGAAACCAGAAATAATGCCTGAGCTCAGGCAAGCCCGGGACCTTGGCACAGCAAAGCTGCTCTCTGCCACCAGCCAGAGCTGCTCTGCAGAGGCAGCAGGAGCATCGTGTGGGGAAACGGCTGCTCTCTGCATCTTCCACTGCCCTGCCCAGGCAGTGATTCCTGCTCCCAAGGGAGGACCAGGGGCTTCACTGCCACCAGTTGGAAAGGAAGGCAGGGAATAAATAAATACAGAAGCAAAAGCAGGTCAGGGGCAAGCTTGATGTGAATGAGGAGGGGATTTAGTAAATTACAATAAGACACACTGCCATGCCTGTCAGGATCAATAAAGCAGCAGCCCTGGGCTTTGGACACCCTCGGCATCTGCTGGCCAGCCTCGAACCCTCCCATTATCTGCTTCATCAATACCAGTCTTGAGAAACACAATCAATATATTAGATTTCCCAGAGACAGCAGAGCAAAATGCGCAAATCCTCCGGCAGCCTGAGCTAGAGCTATTGATTTTTCACACATTCCCCCTCCCCACCCAGTACTGGCAGAGGATGAGGGTGTGATTATGAGCATCAGGATCAGGGGGGGGTTCTCAGTCCCCAGGGCAGAGGCAGTGAGTGCACAGGGTCAGACCAGGAGTAGCACAGCCCAATCTACTGGGAATTGTCAGGGCACCTGTACATCCAGGCAAGATGCCTGGAGCAGTGGTTTCCAGGCAGTAATAATGCATTGGATGGGCCTGATTCCAGCAGCAGGGATGTTGGTACTGATCTGGCCCCTTCCAAGGGCTGTTGCAGCAGCCACAACCTCCTGCAGCTCTTCCAAGTGGGGTAAGATGATGCTTTCATCCCTATTTTGGCAGGAGCCAGGATTAGGCCTGCCAGGAGGGGACATGCCTCGCTCCACCTTGGCTGCACATGGGTCACTTTACCCTGTGGCTGAATCTGATCCATCAGGACTTGAGGCTGTCACAGAGCTGGATTTAGGACTCAAAATCCCCAATAGCCAGCCCCAGAGATGGGGCAGCCTTGTCCACATTCACCAGCTCATGGGCATGTTGGTCTGTGGGCAGTAACCATGCCCCACTGAACTTATGTATCACCTCACCTACACTCTTTGGGGCAGGATTTGGCCCATACATTGCTCAGTGTCAGAGTGCCTGATGTTGAAAATCCCAAGGTCAGGCAACAATTTACCCCGTTTGCAAGAGATGCAGAAACATGGAGCAAAAAGCTAAAGCAGCAGCAGCTTCCCTTTGCTGGGAGCCTCCCCCACAGGGGTAGGAGGGCTTTCTCCGCTCATCACCCAGTGCCCCTGAGCAGGCTGACCTTTCCCAGGCTAACCCACAACCAATGTATGCACGGCTGTGTGCAGACAACAGCTCCTCGCTGCTTGCACACGTCCCCTCCACTTTGCTTGAGATTGCAGGGGTGTTCTTCCTGGAAACCCGGCCAGGGAATACAGAAAAACTCATCTGCCCAGTTTAAGCCAAGATGCCTCTGCCAGTTTGCTTTCAGCCACGCTCTGGTACTGCGAGGGGTGCAGTGTCCCCCAGCACTGTAGAGGGATGAGTCCTGGGGAGAGTTCTGGTGGTGGCTCGGACGGGACTCACTGTGCTGTCTTACAACCAGGAGCATATGGGGGGTTTCACGCCCTTCACTGGCATGTAAGTGATTGCTCCTGGATTGTTTCCAATGCATATACATGTGTCTGGTTTAATTTATGCATGCTTACTTTGTGTGAGAAGACAGCAGCTGACCAGTGGTTAAGAAAACTGAACACCCTGAAAAGGTCTAAAATTAGAGAAGAAACAAGAGCTGCTTCCTCCGAGCCCCAGAGCTGCCTGGGCTGTTTCCAGGAGAGCCCTGAGAAGAGCCTCTGACCCCCCTGCTCTGGCCCCAGGACTGCCTCACTCCTGAGGGGCATGCAGTTTCCATCCTCTCAGAACCTCTACATGTCTGTAGCATCACCCCACCATGCCCTGGATCAGGATGGACTCTTATCCCTTTGGGATGTTTTCCAGTGGATGGGCTGGTAAAGTGCCAGGTGTTCTTGGGACTGTCCCAAGGGTCCTGTTTACCCCGACCTTTCTTTCCTCAAACACATTCTTACCTCCCCGTCACCATTGTGACTGCTGCCGCCTGTCCAGGGGGATATACCAGGCAAAGGGAGGGAGGGAATTGGGGCAGCACCCTGCCAAACAGTGGGAAGAGATGAGATCTGGGAGAGAAAACAAGTGTCCCTGGAGTTCCTGCTACCAGCTCGCACAGCTAATGCCACCACCATGCTGAAGTTGTGGCAGGTCACAGGGTTAAACACAATGTATGAGCACATCTTGGTGTATCAATGGTACAAGCACCAAGCTGCCACATGAACAACAAAGCAGTGGGGTGGCACTGGGAGTGGAACCGTGCCCTTTGCATGGCTGACCAGGTCCCTCCCTCCCGCTGCCCAGGTGGGAGCTCACAGCAAGCTGCTCTTTCCCTCCCTCTGCTCCAGAGCCAGATAGATTTGGGGCTGTGGGGTAGGGCTGGAGGAATCACCCTTTTCTGTGCCACCCCCACAGTTGATGGGCTGCAGGTGGACAATTGCTGGGGTTGTGCCTTGGTGCTGATACGAAGATGCTTTATGTTTGGCAAGTGGTCCCCACTGGGAAGAGTAGACCATAACTGTGTGTGACATGATGCATTGGCATAACCACATGCTGGAGGACATGTCACTGTGACTCTCTGCACTAAACCTGTCCCCCTTTTCCAGGATGTCAACAAAAAACTAAGTGCAGGTGAGACTGAAGTGTGTGGTGATAGCTATGGCAGAAATCTCCAAAGCTAGCTGGACTTTCTGGGAATTTTTGGGAATCCTGCCATAGCTTTGTGTTTTCTTTAACAACCTCTGAACCTTATCAAAGTGCACAAAATGCCACGGGCTTCCTATTTGCAAGGGCCACATTAGGAAAACACCAGCTGCTCCTGCCAAACCTGGTTTGACCCTGCCTGACTTGAGCCCTACATCACGAGCATCCTTAGCGTGGCCAACACCTGCTGATGCCCCAGTGTGCTGCAGGGGACAGACCTTGTTCGCAGCAAGTCCATTTGGTGATCTTCTGGGACATCACTAGGTTAGGCTGTTTCTCCACAGGGGGTCTTGCTTGTCTTGGAAGGAATCACGCACCTCCAGGTCACTCTCTCACACATCAGGGCTGAGTGTGAACTGTCTCTAGGTGCTGTAACACACAGCTCCAGGTCCTGAAGCCTCAGGACTGATATCAGGTGGGAAAGAATCACTTAAAGCAAGTAGGAACATGTCCTGAAGGTGCTTGTGCCACCAGGGCAGAGAGCAAGAGGCCACGCAGCAGCTGTGTTCCCAGGCTGGGGAGTGGCTGAGCTGGGTTTGTGCTGGCTGTTCTCAGCCGGCTGCTCGGAAAACAGCGCTCTGGTCTCTGACAGCAGCCATGAACTGGTCATAGCCTGGCTTTGTCCTTGCCATAGAAATTAGCCCCCAGTGCTGCAAACCACACGTATGCAGCAGAGACACCCAGCATTTCTCAGTGCCTTTGTTCAATGCCAGCAGATTCAGCAAGGGTCTCCTCTACAGCCCAAGATACTTGTCTGCCACAGTTCCTCTCTGGCTCCAGATGTTGTTGCAATTTTATACGTGTGGCAGGAATTAGACTAAAACCCTTCCCTTGCTAACAGCAGGCAGGGACAGAGGCTCCGACTCCCAGGCTCAGACCCAGAGGGCCGATGTGGAGGGAATGCCGCGTGTTCCTTTCTTCCAAACCCCCCTCAGCTTGCCTGGTCAGGACACACTGATCTGCAACCTGAGCCCTGCCCATTCTATTTTATGGCCAAAACAAGCCATAAATTTCCTTCCACAGAGCTGGAAGGTGCAATTGCTTTTCTGCGACAGTTTTTTGCTTGCATGACTTGTAGCATCACGTGAGGGAAATCTGTAAGTAAAAGTCAGACTGGAGCCATTTATAATGGCAGTGCCATGATTGTTACTGCTGACAGCTGCAATTACAGGCACTCCCTTCGATTGCTCCTTACTGGGGAAGAGCGGAGTCAGCAGCAGAGCAGGGAAAGGATCAGAAGCAGCTTTTCCAGAGCTGCATCCCCTCTTCAGTGGACCTTGTCACCCATGGACAGTGCTCAGGGAGGGCTTCAGGGAGGAATGGAAGATGAGGGGTAACCCCCAGTAAGATGGGTTTGGGAAGGGATGCAGGATGCTCCCCAGTACGGAGAGCTCATTGAACTCATCAGCTGGTGCTCACCTCTGTGAGACAGGGGATTGCCCCAGGGCTATGCTGGGACAGACAGCAGGTCTAAGCGCTCACCGAGGTGAAATGCTGCTGGTGGCCCCAGATAACCCCAAGCTGGGCTGCAGGTGAAGGCAGCATCACTACCAGGCACTTGTTTCCAACACCACAATCTAGATCTCCTCCCTGTGAGATGTTTGGTGCATGCCAGGCCCGTGGGCACTGGGGTGCCATTAGGCAGAGCAGCCAGAGAGCTGAGGAGGAATTTGGGAGATGG